TCAGGTCTGTCTTCCAAAATGCCTTTCTGTTTCATTCCAATTTTTGATATGCTCTTATTTACTATTGCAAATAATGCTCCTATGACCTAGGAATGCATAAATATTTTGCATTAGTATTTTCATATTCTTTGGGTAAATATTAAGCAGTGATTTTCATGGATCCTGTAACATTTCCATTTTTATTTTTTTAAGGAATTTCCATACCATTTCCCATAGATGCTGAACCAAATTAAATTCCCATCAACAGCGGATGAGAGGTCGTTTGTAGCTACATCCTTGCCAAAATTCCCCCTCCCACCGCAACTTTTTGATATAGGCTATTCTCACAGGGGTGAAGTGCTAACTTATTGTGGGTTTTGAACTCCATTTTCATTATAAGTATTGTTGGACATCTTTTCAAGTGTCTGATGACCATCTGAATGTCTTCTTTGAGAAGAAGTACTTTTAGATGTTTAAGCATTTTTTTACTGGGTTGTTTGTTTTCATTGTTGAGCATATGAGTTCTTTATTTTGGAAACTAATTCCTTGTTGGACATGTGATGTGCAAATATCTTCTTCCAGTCTATAGTCTGCCTTTTTTTATTATTCATTTATTATTATTTTTAAATTTTATGTATTTTTTACATCATTTTTCAATTTTGTACAATGTATGCATTTTCATCTTGGTTATAGTCCCCATACAGTTCCCACCCTCCCTTGTTTTGATCCTGCTCCCTCCTCCCCCCACCCTGTAGTGTGTCTCTGGTTTATAGTTGCTTGCTGATTTTGATTTTTACTTTATTATAATTAGTCCTTTTTCTGGTCCCTTATTTAGGTTTTCTAAATTCCTGCTATGAGTGAGACCATCTGGTATTTTTTTTTTTTTTCTTTCTGGCTTATTTCGCTGAGCATGATGCTGTCTCCACAATCAAACACCAGACTGCCTTTTGTTTTTCTGCTTTCATTCATGGTACAAAAGATTTTTAGTTCAATATAGTCCCATTCATTAATTTTTGCTTTTGTTTCCCTTGCTGTTGGAGTTGATTACCCTAATATATCTCTGTGGTTGATATTCAGGAGCATATCACCTATACGATTTCTCTTATGCATGTTCTATAGAAGCCTTTAAACTATTTTCAATTACTTTTTACATAGGGAGTAAAGATCTCCAGTTTCATTGTTTTGCATGTGGCTGTCCAAGTTTCTCAACACTATTTGTTAAAGAGGTTTTCCTTCCCCCATTTTATGGGCAAGGCTCCTTTGTCAAAGGTTAACTGCCCCTATTTGTGTGGTTTATTCCTGGACTTTTTGACCAATTATTGATCTGTGTTTGTTTTGTTCCAATACCATACTATCACTGTCCAGTATTATCCAATATTATTATCATATGTACCATAGTTTGAAGTCAAGAATTGTGATTCCTCCATTTTTCTTCTTTTCTCTCAGAATTGTTTTGGCTGTTAAGGTCTTCTGTGGCCACAAATGAATTTCAAAATGTTTGTTATATTTTTTTGAGGGATGCCATTTAAAATTTCATAAGGATTTCATTAAATCTGTATATCACTTGAGTAAGATGGTCATTTTAACAATGTCAACTTTCCAGTCTTTAACAAGGGATATCTTTCTTGTTTTGTGTGTCTTCCCTTTATTTTAATAATATCATAAAGTTTTTGTTGTATAGGTTTTTCAGCTTGTTTGATATGCCTATTCCTAGGTATTTAATTATTTTAATATAAGGGGGTTGTTTTCTTGATTTCTTTCTCTTCCAGCTCATTGTTTGCATATAGAAAAATGCAACTGATTTTTGCAAATTGATTATTAATCTGCTACTTTACTGTATTAATTAGTTTTTTAGTCAACTCTTTAATGTTCTCTATCTTCTACTAATTTTTTTGTTTCCATCTGATCTTCTTATTCCAGTTCCTTCAGATAAAGACTTAGATTGCTTATTTGACATTTTTCTTGTGTATTGAGGAATACCTGTATTGGTATGTACTTCCCTCTAGAATGATGCTTTTAGTGCATCCCATCGAATCTTGTAGGTTTTCTCTTCATCTTTGTTAATCTACACATTATTTGATTTCTCTTTGATATCTTCATTCATCCAGGAGTTTTCAGATGCATTTATTTTTGTTGTAACATGTATTGATTTATTCCAGGACTCTTTTTATGGTTAAATTCTAGCTTTACACCATTGTGATCAGAAAAGATGCTTGATATAACTTCTGTTTTCATATATTTTTGAAACATGTTTCATGTCCCAGCCTGTGTCCTTGAAAATGTTTCATGTGCATTTGAGAAGATTGTGTATTCATTTCTTTTGGGATGGAAGACTGTAAATGTCTATTAATTCAGTCTGATCCATCATTTGAGGTCACTATTTCTGTTTACTTTTTGTTTAGATGGTCTATCCATTGATGTAAGTGATGTGTTTAAATCTCCTACTATTGTTTTGTTGATATCAGCATGTTACTTCAAATCTGTTAGTAATTGTTTTATATGCTTGAGTGCACCTATGCTGGGAGGCTAAATATCAGTGCAGTAATACCTTCTTGATTGATTGCCCTTGTTCATTCTGTAGTATCCATCTTTAACATGGGTAATATTTTTTGGCTGAAAGTCTGATGAATGTGATATGACATTAGTAGTTCCTGCTTTTTTCTCCATGTTATTGGCTTAATATATCTTTCTTTAGTCTTTCACCTTAAATCCATTTTTGCCTTTAGATCTGAAGTGAAATTCTTGTATGCATAATATAGGTGGGTCATGTTTTCTTATCCAAGTCATCATTCTGTCTCTTTTAATTAGTGAGTTAAGACCATTTACAAATAGGTTAATTATTGCTATATTAGACTTATTTACTGCCATTATATCCTTTGCATTTTGGTTATTTTATCTTTCTGTTTTTTTTTTTTTTCCTTTATGTTTCTATCTACCTTTTTTACTTGGATATCTTTACCTGGTGGTTCTCTTAGTTTCTTCATTTCCTTTTCTAAGTGTTCTTATTCCAGATTTTTGTTTTGTGGTTAGCATGAGGTTTGTTTCAAACTTTCTATCTCTAGAATAGTCTTTTTTGTGCTACTATCAATTTCTTAACATATGACTACACAGATTCTGTCTTTTTCTTCTACCCCTTTAATGTTTTGTTGTGTCAAATTGCTCATATATATGTTTTTGAGTCTACGTTTCTATTTATCATCTTGGTTCATAGTTTCATATTCTTTTTTTTCTTTTCATGTAGAAGAACTTCTTTCAGCATTTCTTATAGGGCAGGTCTGTTGGTTGCAAGCTCTATTAGCTTTTGTTTGTCATTTATTTTTTATGACATTTATTTTTTATGAGTATATTCACCAATGTTCTTGATAGTAAAATAGATTTAGGATAACTTAGATGTAAAATTAAGGGGGGTCATAAATAAGGGTAATATGAAACTTAAGTCATCGAAACATCCAACAATTAGTTCTCTGGTTCTTCTGGCATGCTAGAAAGAAGAAAAGCTGTACAGATGGTAGTATGGTAAAGCCACGTTCTTTAAACTACTCAATGTTTATGGTTTCGATGAGTGTGTTCTGGTTGAGCAAAATAAACATAAAAACTATGCATTAATGTGTGGAGGCACTATGCTGTAGTCGAAGTTTATACAGTCCAGATTCCTGTGGGTAGAAGATATTAAGGAGCTAATATTCAGCTTTATATTGAAAATCCAAAAGATTTCATATGGCACTTGGGGCCAGAAGTCACTTTAGAAAACTACACCAAAAACACATCTATGTGTAACATGAAAATGAATACTAGCTAAAATAGAACTCCATTATCACATAGACACCAATTGCCTAGGCACAATCAGGTCCTTTCACCCTCAGTACCCATCCCCAAATATATGCTGTGATAACACTGTTAATAATACACAGGAAAAGAAAAAGAAAATACCTGACATTTAACTCAGGATATCATGTTAATTTTCACAACAGACCTTGTAAGTATGTTTTATCATGCCCATGAGAAAACAGACTCACACTACACCTACAGGATTACACAGGATCATCACACAGAAAAAGTAACAAAGCTGACATTTGAGACTTGACCTGATTACTTTTAAACTCTGTGCTTTCTACTCTAACTTTGTGGCACCACAGTAATAGAGTTACTAATTTTCCACTTCTATTTCTATAATTATTACTGTTCCCACTCTACTTTCTAATTATTGTTTGGAATAAGTATTGCATCTCTAGGCCTAATCTTGTCATCTCTCAGAGGGAGTTAGCCCTGATAAACTCCAGAACTGTTTCTGACTTTCATATTCTATAATTTTATTTTGATTTTATACTTACAAAAAAACCCCACTAGTATCTATTTTTCACTAATTGATCTGTCATATAAGAATATTTTAAGAACTGAAATTATTGGCCATGTTTAACCCCCAAAAGAGAAAACTCTCAGTGAACGGAATGGAAAGATAGAGCATATGAAATATTTTACGTTATATATAAAATATAGTCAGATATTTTAAAGGCTACTAGCAAGTAGAAAGAAGAAAAATTAGCCAAGGAAATATAACTAGAATCAATAAGCAGAATTTCTAGACTTCTACTCTTTCTTATAAGTGTAACCTGCCTGTCATATGAGACTCCACGGTAACTTGGTCTCAACAACATGATAGGGCCAAAAAACTTTAAAGAGACTCATGATTCTAAAATTATTTGATTCACTAATATACTAGACTTCCATATTAACCCTGCAAAGCTGATTCTGTCCTTAACAGGATTTATAAGTATGATTCAGAGGTATCAAACCATAGCTGGCACTCAGTCATCAGTGAGTGGATGAAAAGATATGGGGGTGGAGTGAAGAAAAGGATATGAAACACCAAAATTCATTTTAGTAGACCCATCAGACCCCAGTACTATAAGCAGTGACCCCTGTTCCCTACCACCATCCCATTACTTCCCTGTAGTCATCATGTTCAATAAAAGGCTGGTTGCGTGTGCTGAGTATAACTTGTTTCTTTCCTTCTTTTTCAGATGTTCACCTCTACTATATTTGCTGTGATTGGATTCTTGGGTGCTTTATACTCATTTAGCATATCAGCGGTCTCAATCAACAAAGGTCCTAAATGTCTCATAAGCAATAACACATGGGACTACCCCTTCATCAATGGGTAAGGTATACCCTGCAGTGTCCACTAACACTACAAAGGGCATGAGCAGATTACATGCACCAAGGGGGGTGACAATGTACAAATCTTGCCATCATCATTTTATGTCTCAATCATGTTATTCCTTAGACAGAAGAGTTGGAGTTGTGGAATGAAGTTAGTTGCATACGATCTCACATCTAATTGTTTTCGCAGACACCAGGAGAGATAACTAAAAGAGGGTCCCTTAGCTAGTCTGAGCTAAGAAGATCTGTAGGATCACCACTCATACCCAAAACATTTATTAACAGCTACACAAGACAACCTATGATATTAATAAATGCCGCGGACCAGCACAGCAGTAGGCAGTAGACGATGAGGCCACCTCAGGGTTGAGAGAAGCGTGCAGGGTGGTCAGGGCATCGGCGAAAGAAATGACAAACAGACACACTTCAAGAGTGAAAATCTGAGTGTAATTTTCTCTAAATTTGTGACCAGTATATATATGTTTTCCAAAAGCACAGGAATGAATATCAAGGAAATTAGCTTGCTCATGGGCTCAGTCTACCACTATCAGGGAGGTGATCTACACAACAAGCAATGACCATTATGGAAGAAAGAAGGAAGTTTAGAAAGACAAATAAGGGATTAAAGTTTGTAGTTCTAGAAAGACAGGAAAAAGATTTTTAGCATTCTTGTAGTGGTTCTTGGTGGTCGTTATCTATTGATAAGCTTCTGCCTTTTCAGGGAACTTCCGCTGCACTTCCTCTGCTTCAGGCTGTTCTCCCCCCGCACGCTGGTTGCCCAGCCGGATCTAGGGACCGTGGCGAAAGCCATTCCTAAAGATCACTGCGGGGGGAGGTGCAGCAGGTAGGGTTTTGCTGTTCTTCCCCTGCGCGCTGGTTGCCCAGCCGGACCTAGGGCCGGTTAGCCCTAAAGGTCACTGCAGGGGAAGGTGCAGCAAATAAACAAAGGATAGTGGTTTCTATTGCAAACCACTTATAGTGGAAAACAAGAATCATTACTCATTAACAGGACTCAAATACTTTCACTGAATTGTATTTAACCAAACAATCTTTTAATCTTTTAATTGTGTTTTTTGTGAGAGTTAATAGAGCTTATTAAAATGACATCTCATATTTCTAGGCTCTTTGTAGTCCAAACAGAAATTTCCCCCCACAAATTTATCATTTAATTTTCATAGCAACACAAAAGATATATTTATTCCCTGTCAAGGCAGATTTGATAGGTTTGGTTTGTTCAAAACCATAGCTAGGTGAGGGGCCTCCCCTGGTGGCGCAGGCGGTTAAGCACCGCACTGTGAAGCTGTCCATAGCCTCTGCAGCGCAGGTTCGATCCTGGCCTGCCAGCGAGGGTCCCACATGGCACAGCAGACCTCTCCTGTCTTGCCCGCTGCTCCCCTCAGCAGTGTATTTCGTCAGTCTGCCTGCTCTGTTCCCTGCTCTGTCTCTGGTGAATCCTTTCACCCTCCCACACATCTGGCCTGTACCCCCACTCTTTAAAAAAAACCAAACACCAAAACACCATAGCTAGGTGAGACAAGAGACAGGGCTCAAAATCATGTCTTCTAACTTCAAGTCTTAGGTTTTTTTAGGTTACATGTCTTTTTGCTCCTAGACTGCACTTCCAATATAGTATTCAATAGCCATAGGTGGATGATTTAAATTCTAATTAAATTAGTAAAGTTTAAAAGTCATTAATCAGCCATTTCAAGTACTCAGTAACCATATATATTATATAGTGATTATATTGAATACCATAGATAAAAGGCATTTCCATCATCACACAGCACTACCAGGAGGGTTTGGACTATTTCTGTTTCACCACCATTACAGCCTCTGCCTAGTACCTAACTAAAATATTTAGCAGGTCAACTAAACATAGAACTTCCATATGATCCAGCAATTCCACTCCTAGGTATTTACCCAAAGGATACAGAAACATCAATTCCAAAGAGCACCTGCACCCCTATGTTTATAGCAGCACTATTTACAATAGCTAAGCTTTGGAAACAACTCAAATGCCCAAAAATAGATGACTGGATCAAGAAGATGTGGTACATATATACCATGGAATATTACTCAGCATTCAAAAAAGATAAACACATGCCATTTGCGGCAACATGGATGGCGCTGGAAGGGATCATGCTCAGCAAAATAAGCCAGAAAGAAAAAGAAAAATACTGGATGGTCTCACTCATAGCAGGAATCTAGAAAACTTAAATAAGGGACCAGGAAAATGAATAACTATAAGAAAGTGAAAATCAAAATCAACAAAAAACTATGAACCAGAGACACTCTATAGGGGGTAGAGGGCGGGAGGGGAGGGATTGGGGTCAAAATAAGGGGGTTGCAATTGTATAGGGAGTATAAAAATAAAATTTATTTAAAAAAAAAAACATTTAGCAGGTCAGACAATATATTTTGTTGGAGCCTCCTGCACCTGTAGGATTGGTTCAAATCTAAAAAAAAAAAAAGAAGAAGAAGAAGAAGAAGTCTATAGGGCATCAGCTATTACTTGTATTACAGTTACTATTTATTAATTTACAGTGAGCGTGTAAAGGAACTCAGGAGTGGGCATCAGAGGGTAGAAATGCAGGGTATGGTTTTCTTTACATGAGGTATTAGTTTGTTCACAGATATTTTATAGACAGTATCTACTACTTTAGAGTTCTCACCCTACTTTAGAGTTAAACAGAAGCACAAGGCCTCTGATACCCTGATATCCCATGCAGTAATTCCCAATGGCATCTACTTTACTGTAGGAAACCAACTATTGGGGTCCCACTGCTTTGGGGTTGGCTTGTGTGAAGACAGAATTCAGACTCAGGGGGATCCATTTCCTGAGGTTCTTCCTCTGGGAACTCTTTCTTTCCCACTAAACTGTCTTCGCAACACAGATTACATCTTCTTTTTCCAAGGACCCTCAATTTTTATCATCAGCACAAGTGCAGTATTAAACATATTTTTCTACTTATTCCATTTCATGAATGATACAAATACTAATGTTACTAACAGTTTTAAAATCAATTATAATAAACCTTTGTCCAAAATAAAGGAAGGAGGAAGGAAACACTACATAAGCTAAATGATATTCCTGCCAGTCAGTGCAATGATCTCATGTTCCTATAGTAGGGTTTGTCAGCCTTCCCTGTTATGTGATATTAGCACTCCAATATCACACTCTAATATCAATGAGATGGGGTCACTGCTGAGTGACGACTCATCTGTGGGCCAGTATAGGAAATTTAAGCTTGGGAGAAGCACTTTTCAAAGTACTCTGTGTTTGTCCTAGTGAAGCAAGTTTTCATTCACCCCACAGCCATTTATTGCATAGTACTCTGTGATAAATGCTTTCATATATGTTGTTTTATATACCCCACCCAACAACAACTAGCCATTCACTAATAGGTATCAGATTAGAGAGGTTTAATAATAAAAACAGGATAGAGTAAATTTTGTGGGCAAGTAGGTACATTTCAGAACTCTCCCCTCAATCTCTGTACAATTTTTTGATGGTAGAAAGGTTAGAATACCTAGGCTCTGTATAGTGACCTCAAACTATCATATGACCAAAATCGATGTATACAGATTGTGGGAATGGAGGAGAAAATTCCCCCTACAACTCTGGGTTCTTCTTGGACTGATCAAGTAATCAAGTTAACATCAGATGGATTAATAGAAGAATAAAAATAAAATTTAATTTTTTATGCGGGGGAGCCACATAGAGGGGTCCAAGAACAAAAAGGTAAATTGAAGCATATATGCCATCTTCAGCTAAGAAGTGGGACCTAGAATTTTGAGCAGGGAAGGAGGGTAATTAACATTATGAAAACAAGTGAAGATTCCATCTGGAAAAGCTCAGGAACATTTACTACGAGCTCTTTGTAGTAGGGAGAAATGTTGGGATGAAGACAGAGGCTCGGAGGTGGTGGTGGGGTGCTGGTGTGTGAAAGAATTCACCAGAGGCAGAGTGGAGAATAGGATAAGCTGATTAATTGAAATACCCTGCAAGGGAGCAGGGGGTGAGTTGGGAGAGGTCTGCATGGGAAGGAGGATTTGGGGCTGCCTTTTGTAATCTGATTTTTCAGGCTTTTCAGGATTGAGGGAGTTGGTCTCTCCTGGTTGTTGTCTCTGGGACATCAGGTTGTGGCAGACCTTCCCCACCTTCCCCTGTCATGCTTGGTTCTGTTTGCCCTGTTTCCACATTACTAGGAATTCCACATTCTCCACAGCCCACTATTGGTCATATGGACCCACAGCCAGGTTCCCATGGCAACTCTATCGGTTTCCCCTTCTTATCTATTCTGTTTCTCCCAGCTTTGTTCAGCCAAGCAAAAGGCAGAGACTTAAGATGTAAGTCTATTAAAGGATGACCCGACACCTTATCCGTTGGACCCTGTGTGTAAGTGTAACAGCAGTTGTCGTTATAGCTGCAAACCGAACAGATACAGTGAGCAGAAAGGATTAATCACTTATATGAGCCTAGATAAAAGGACATATGAGTGTCAGGACAGTTGTCACTTCCTTTACCACCAAGTGGCAGCAGCAGTGGCTGCTTTTCCCTCCTCCTGTTTGTTCTCCTCCTTATTAAAGGCTAAGTATTTTTACATGTATTCTCATTTAATCTTCCTAATAATCTGAGAAGAATTCTTTTCCTTGGAGTAGAAAAAAATGCAGTTCAAAAAGGTTAATTTGCCCACAACTCGTACTTAGTATAAGGAGAATTAAAAAACAAATCCAGAAAGAAAAAGAAAAATACCGGATGGTCTCAGTCATAAAGAAAAAGAAACATACGGGATAGTCTCACTCATAGCAGGAATTTAGAAAACCTAAATAAGAGACCAGGAAAAAGACTAATCAATACAAAGTAAAAATCAAAATCAACAAGCAACTATAAACCAGAGACACACTACGGGGGGTGAGGAGGAAAGGAGGGGCGGGGAGAGGAAGGACTAGAGTAAAAAATAAGGGGGGGTGGTGTGCATTGTAAGGGGAATATAACCAAAATGAAAATGCATACATTGTTCAAAGATGAAAAAAGATGTAAGAATTATATAAAATAAATATTTTTTAAAAATCCAGGCAAAAAACAACCACTTGGCCGGCACCCTCCTTGGTGCTGAAACCTGTCCCAAATGTGGAGCATAATAGGACAGAGGCAGTCCCTGCCCGTGAGAAACGGTCAGTGAGGATGACAAAATGGAACAGATCTGTACAGTGTGGGAAGTGACAAAATGAGGAATGAATGGGAAACTTTTCTGAGGAGGTAACATGGTCTGATTATGGAAGATGAGCAGAAGTGCATTCCAAAGAGGGAGGGGTTCAGGCAGGGAGAACAACACATCCTGAACCACTGCAGAAAGACTCGACCTGCTAAGGCAATGTTTGGCCAGGACTGTGTGGCCTCAGCTTATGGTGTAGTGAAGCAGAAAGCAGGTGAGCAGAAAGGCCACTGTGTGATGCAGGTGAGTGAGAGGCAGGCAGACACTTGGGCCATCAGGGAACAGGAGCGATTTCAGGCAGGATGTGACATGAGCACTCGGGTGTTTCACACTGTGAAGAATGATGAGAAGGCTCAGTCCCACCAAAGAGGAAAAGAGGAGGTTGGAGTAACAACCAGAAAACACTGTGAGCATCCCTGAGGCAGTGGAATTGAGATTCAAATGAATAACATACAGTTCAGAGACTGTGTGAGGTGGAATCATGTGGATCAGGTGTGAGGAGACAGAGGTAGACTCTGAGATATCCAGTTTGGGGTACAAAATCCAAGGCTCTTCAATGTCATAGAACTTAGCACTGTTTTCTTCAGAAATGTTTGCTGGACATCATTTTAAAGGAGCAAAGATGTTAACTTTTTCTGTCATGAGAACCATACTAAAGAAACATCCTAGAGGGAAGACATTTCTAGGAAAACATCCTAGAAACCCAAGACATTTTGAGATACGCCTTCTTGACTTCCTTTGAAATAGGACTTCCTCCCATCCATGGTCTTCTTCTCTGAGACAATTGGCCACATCTGCCACGACCCTGAGGGAGTAGCACAGGGTAAGGGATAACTGTGGAAGGAAAAGCCCGGAGACAGGCCAAGGTCAGTTAACAGGGGGAGGGATGAGGATATCCTTGCACAGCACTCTGCTCAGGCTACACCCCCTGCTACTCCCTGGGGAAGATATTCAAGGGTGAGGGGTGCTCTCTCACATCAAAACACGGAATGAACACAATTCAATGTTCTGCCCAGGTTCTTCCTGGTAGCCTAGGGATTGAGTCTCAGCACTATCACCTCCACGGCCTGAGTTCAATCCCCAGCCAGGGAGCTACCCACATGGTGCAGCAGACCTCTCCTGTTTTGCCCACTGCCCCCCTCAGCAGTGTATTTCAATATAGCCACGTGTTCTACTGCCCACTCTGTCTCTGGTGAATCTTCTTACTCCCTGAAACCCTGGCCTATGCACCAGTTCTTCTACACACACACAATGTTCCGCCCAGACTTTTGGTTAAGACCGTTTGCATTTGCACTTCAAAGATGGCTTATTAGCCAGCAACATCACAGATTGCTTAAAAACACACTCCCTGGAGTTCAAAGCCCAGGGATAAGGTGAGATTGGATTGTAGAGCCTGTTCCTAGCCTTCATGAAGCAGGAAAACAGCTGTTAAGAACTGTATTTCCCCTGGACCTGACTAGATGTAAGGTCCAGTCACATCTCCGCCACATACCAGTGGTGAAATGGTATTCTCGGTACTTCCTCAGTGAAAGGAGAGTAGCAGCAATATATACCTCCCAGGTTCAGGCAAGGATAATATAAAACACTGTGCACAAAGCACTTAGCATAGTTACTGCCACATACTGCTTATTAAATAGTCAGCATTAGTATTATTTTGTTAATATAACTCATTTACCAACATGCCTCAAAACTATATATTGTTATACTTTCTAATGATTTTGTGATTCATTTCTATGTTTTCAACCAATCACATGTAGGTTCAAAGAGAATAATCTCATTACAGTGGTAAAGGTAAACCTTGATTGACATATTTATATTAACATATAAATTTGTCGTATAAATCAAATGTCATCATATGCCAGATATATGAAAGGAATATAATTATTCAAATGCAGGGAATTTGTGTCATTATTAAGAGCAATGGCATTGGAGTCAGTTAGACCAAAGGTCAAATCCCAGGCACTTCCATTTCCTAACTTTGACTTCTTAATCTGTGTATGGTTGTGTTCATTCACTAGGTGACTGTTTCCTGGAAGATACACTGTACCAGATACTGTTCAAGTAAATTTCCAGCCCCTTGTAGGTTTGAGAATGAGGATATAAAGCAGCTAGCCCCATGTCTGGCACATGGGCAGGACCCCCTACACAAGATGCTGGCATTAACTGATCACTCTCTGAGCTGAATCTTGGGACAGAGATAGGGGACACTCTCTGCCATGTGGATGTACAGTTCCAAAGAGAAGGGAGGCAAATGAACAGATGGTGACTATACGATGACTTAGGGAGACAGAAATGGAGCCAGAAAAGCATAAAGGAGACCATCCGGGAGATGGGGTCACTGGAATTAAAGTGTGCAAGGCAAAGCTTTTGGTTCCTCTGTTCCATCCTTTAGTAACCTTTGATGACAGCAAGAATGAATTTCATGAAACTCATGGCTTTCTATTCTCATGTTGATAGGATTGCTGTAGTTCAAGTGCAAAAGCCCTTCACAATAATGAAATGCTATAAAACTCTAGTTAGGTGAGTTTAGACTGCCTTAGCTCTTCTTGATTCACAGAATGTGGAAATATGATTAGTTATGGGTCCATGAAAGATTAGGGCCTCCTCTTAGCTGACTTGGAAAATTTGGCACAGCGATTATTGCCAGGATCTCTGAGAGTCTCAGCCCTTTTTGGTTTAGGGGCAGAGAAGGAGCGCCTGAGAATTACCTATGTCCTTTGTGAGGAGTGAGGCTGCAGCAGTAGTGCTAAGAGGATTTCTCCAGCATCCAAACACAATCCTCTCTTCCAAGTTTCCCCATGTGCATTTCTCCAATCTTACCACCTAGAGGTGCTGTCATCCCATCACTGTGCAAACTTTCCAGATGAGGAAAAGAACTCAGGATTGCCAATTCCTTCACTTTCACATATTTTCTTTGTAAGACCCTAGAAAATATTGCATCTTTATAACTTCCTATAATCATCAGCTTAAAAATGATAAAAGCAGAATGAACTATATGGAAAAATGCAGAACAAAATGATAACTGATTCAAAAAAGCATCTTTGGTTAATTTGTGAAATGTCCCTCCAGTGGAAAGAAATCCTTGTTTAAATGTATTAAGTTCAATTCCATGTTGTCTGAGTCAACTGTGAATATTTTATAAATATAGTTTCTCCTATTTCAATGTTTTTATAAAATAGGTATTAAGACAGCAAATTATTTCTTCCCCATAAAGAAAATTAATTACATCTTTTGCATGTAGAATCCCCATATATTAATGAAAACAGAGTTGGGTCAAATTCACAATTTGGCTTTGAATTATGCCTTAAAATTCAAGCTCTACCCTTTAGCAATATGATGCAATATTTTACTTGGCTTTGATTGTACTACACTTGACAACTAACTTGTCCAAAGTCCAAATGGTCCCTCATGCCATTAGGTAGGAAAAGGGCAATTAACATTTGTGAGATTCTATTCCTGCAGTGTCTTCCCTTTTCTAACTTCATAATAGATGGTGAAATTGCCTGTCCTCTTGGTCTGTTCACAAAAATCACTCTATCTCTTAATGTCTGTGTGACCTTAACTTCTGTGTGTCTCCGTGATCTTATTTGTAAAAGGGGAGAAAATAACATAAGGTTTCTATGAAGAATAAATAAGTGAAAATGTATAAAATGTTTTGAACACAGTGTCCGAAATAGCATATACTCAATAAAAGTATTATGTGTTTTTAAAATAACTATTTTGGGATATTTTTCTTGGGGAGCTTATGTTTTAGAAGGAAAGTATTGCGAAAGAAAAACCATTATGTTGCTTTCTAGACTAGGGCATGGCATACTTTTTACTCATTAGTCTTTCATCCCATGTCCCAACAGGGATTACCTTGATAACAAAATCTTATGGCACAAGTGCCTACAGCCTGAAAACATAGTTCCCTGGAACCTGACCCTCTTCTCCATTCTGCTGATCATCGGAGGCGTGCAAATGTTTCTCTGTGCCATCCAGGTGGTCAATGGTCTCCTGGGGACCCTGTGTGGAGACTGCCAATGTTGTGGCTGCTGTGGGGTAAGTTGAGGTTTTTGTCTTTTTTCGCAGGCAAGAAGGCAAGTCATGCCAGCACTAGTCGGATGGGAAGGTGGAAAAGGGGTGCACCCTGCGGAACATCAGAGGCAGGCTGCGAAGTGCAGGCATCCCCCTCTATCAACTTAGGGAAACAGTGACCTTGTGTTGGCGGAACCTAGAAGTTGTGCTCTGTAGCATGTGAACAGACACAGGCTAAAGTTCACTAAAACTTTCAGGCTCACACTCAGCTGACCATGGTCCTACAAGCCAAATACATGTAAATGTTTTCAATAATGTTTATATGAAGATCTCAGGAGGCATTTGTCATGTGGGCATCTTGTCAGTAATAATACCTCATGATCTGTACTGAAATGTTCTTACTACTTCCTAATAGACCTAGACAAAGCATTATAATTTCCAAGTAATATATGGAACATGAGTTAAGGCACTTTCTTTTCCTTGAAAAGAACAGGATATATCAATGCAAGTTCTTTATTTTGATGAGATTTATCTTATGGAACAAAGAAATGGTTTTTAAGTAAGGAAAAGCAAGGAAATTGCTCAGAATTTAGTCACCAAATGTGAGTTTAAAATATCAACAATAGGGCCTCCCCGGTGGCACAGCGGTTGAGTGCTGGGCTGCGAGGCTGTGCAGCGCCGGTTCGTTCCCCGGCGGCCGCCGGGTGAGGGTCCCACATGGCGCGCAGACCTCTCCTGCCGCCCGCTGCTCCCCTTAGAGGTGTACTTCGGTCCTTCTGCCTGCTCTGCTCCCTGCTCTGGCTCTGGTGAATTCTCTCACCCTCCTGCGCTTCTGACTGTACCCAGTGCTTGTATGAATGAATGAATGAATAAATAAATAAATAAATAAATAAATAAATAAATAAATAAATGTTTAAAAAAAATAAATAAAATAAAATATCAACAATATAAAAATTAAAAATAAACCTATGGGCAGTAAAACTGTGCAATTATTTCAGTGAATGGCCAAATCAAATCAAATGATTATGCATAAATACAGTTATTTGAAAAACACAAACTGATGTGTGAAAAAAGAAAAACATTAAGCAGAGCTCTAGAGCCCTTACTTGGGGAATTATGAAATTAAATTAAGGTTTAACAACTTAATATAATATTTTGCTAAATTTTAAATTATTTAAATAATTTTCTTTAAGTTTCTTACAAGTATTATATGTGTATAAGTCAAGTTTATGTGTGCTTGTGTTCACACACAGAAGAATACAAAGAGATACTCAGTTGGAATATCTTGTCTTCTACCTACCCAAGTTCCCTATAATTTCATATATATTCTCCCTAAGTGGGGGTGGGGGGTGTTTTCACTACCCCCACCTTAAAATGATTTTTTAATTTAATAATATCGGAAAATGCTTATAATGTAGTGTTCATTGGAAAAAGCAGGATTCAAAAATTGTATACTTAATATATACATATAAATAAGAAAAAACAAATGCTGTATACAGAAAAAAAGTCCTAAAGAAAATTCTACAAAAATGTTAAATGATAGTTGTTTAGGGTAACAAGACTTTGACCCTTTTTACTTCCTCAGGCTTGTGTTATATATTATATATACTACATATTATATATAGTATATTATTATATTATTTAATAATCATGTATTTTAAAATATAAAAATATAAGTAAAATGTTATAAAATATCCATTGTAAATGAACAAATATATTTCACTGAATATTGAGTTAGTTCTATAAATTTGCAATTCTGTTGTGCTAAATGTAAAACTTTTAGTTAAACAAAAATAAGGAGAAAAGAAAACGATCAGTTTGTAATCCATCAAAATTATTTTTCCGATGGCAGTAAAGTATATTGGCCATCTAAATCTTGTAATTCATCTAAAATGAACTCATATTTGTTAAGCCAAGCAAGTAACTTAAAATGCTGGTCTTATTTTTTCCCTACTTTTATAGAAAAGACATTCAATATTTTAGTAATACAGCAAATTTTCATTGCAAGATTTATTAGAACTGCAACTGCTCTTTGAATAAGAGATATACTGAATCTCTTTTAATAAGAGTTTAACTAAATCTAGTGATTATCAATAAATTTAAAAACAAACCCACAGGTGCCAGCACACTAACTCTTTTCCATGAGTTTCATCTATTTAGGTATGATATTTTAGCAAGTTTAATGGCTAAATCATTGTATAATCAGAAGACAGCACATAGACTCCAAAGCTGTCAGTGCATAGACACAAACCACAGAGGGAAACGGACATGTCCTTCTTTCCTCTTCCTGTCTTCTCTTCTTTCCCTCCCTCCTTCATTCCTTCCTCCTCCTTCCCTCCTTCCTTCTTTCTTTCTTTGTTCTCCAGGTTATTTGGAAAGCTTCAAATCTAATAAAATCGAAAAGAACAGCACAATGAATCCTGTACGTTTTCATCTAGATCCACAAAGCATGAACATTTTCTTGTTCCTTCTTTCTGAACCATTGAAAAGTAACTGGCTAATATTATGAAACTTCATTACTAAATAATTCAGAGCACTTCGGAGCTGCATTTTCAGAAAGCCAGTCTGCTGAGGAACCTTTCTTGCTGGCAGCTTGCCTCTCATGCAGCTGGTCAATGTCCTCCCTCAGTAGACACCACAGAGACTTGGGCTCGTACCTACCTCCACAACTAATTGCTGAGTGCCCCACGTAAGCTGTCTGACTTCCCAGAGTCTTAGTTTCCCCAACGCCTTCTGCCTAACTTCTCCAGAAAATATTAGGATCAACATCCATCCATTCAGGCAAAAAGTATTTCTTGAGACAGACATTCCTAAACCTGGCAGTGTCATTAAATGAGGTAATAGATGGAAACAGGCCTTCAAATACAAGTTATGAGTCCTGGGTTGAATGCCAGCTATGCAGTCTGGGCTAAGTCAGTTGCAATCAACTGTTTCTTTGTCTGTAAATGTGATCATTAAACCTACTTCTTATGGTTGCTTACTGTCTAACATAGAATAATAAATACGTGTGTCTCTCAACAATGAGAAGTTTTGCTATATTGTATCAATAGTTACTCACTCTGAGTATGAGAATCAGTGAGGCAGCATGGATTCAAAGGAATACAATCTGAGTTCAGCCTCCATGGGTCCAATCCTGGCTTGTCTGCTTTCTAACTGTACCTTTAGCTACATTACTTGACCTATCTTTGTCTTTTATCAAAATTACTTTTAATAATAAATCATGCAAAATAAATACAAGCAAGTGACTGATCAAAGCTCTAAAATAAAGGAAAGTATAGAAGACATTTATGTAGCCAATAAAGGACAAGACCACTCAAGAAGATGGATGATGGCAAGCGAACTAGAAAGGGAGGAGAATGAAAAAAAAAAACAGAATGATGTCATAATTAATTAACTTTTTCTACCTTCTAGGGAGATGGACCAGTTTAAATCTCTATGCTGAGCTGCCCTAACTTGACAACATGTGGGATGCTATATTAAACTTCTTTTTGTTGGGATATTATTAATTCCTATCTGCTTCCTGATGAAACTTCTTCTGCTATCCAACAAGTTTAGCACAAATAAGAATTTTATGTTATTTAAAAATAGTTTGGTCACTTGACAAATTAGATTTATAAATCTTTCAAATTAGTTTCTTGTTAGAATTGAAGAGCTGGTTCAAAGCAAGTTTTTCCTAATTCTTAAAGCATGAAAAGTATATAAAGTCATGGGTAGTGCTATAGAACTTCTTTGTATATAGAAATGTTTATATATTTTGAAGTTTTACATAATTCAGAAAAGGAAAACACATTTAAATTGATACACTGAGGCCATTTTTTTTTTGTTTTCAGGATTTATGGGAAAACTGATTGATGTATCACAAATCATTATTGTTTCATGCCTTCTTGACTAAAATGTTTGAATTACTTGTGACTAGTCTTTTGAGATTGCCATCATTTGCTAGGGTTTCCTTATGTATATTAAAGTTAGAATTGAAAGGTTATTTAATAAAAATTGCATTGCTGGGAGAAGAAATGGCAAAAGAGTGAATAATAACACGAGCTTTTCTACAAACCCTTCCTTTGAGAAAATAAAAAACAATGGTTTAAAACAGTTTATTGGAGTTATAATTTTGTCAGACCATGGCTGGGATTCAGATAATAATAGGTATTACTACTTCTATGTGATATATTAAGACATTGACTTTGGTTTTATGAATTAGGCACTCACTAATTGTGGAACTGAATCCCATTCTTTTCACTGGGATTCAAATTACGACTCCACCATATACCAATTTGAGGATCCTGAGAAATTTACTTTCTAAGTCTAAGTTTTCCCATGTGCATATTAAAAGGGAATCAATCAATCATCTAAGACATTTTGAAGTACCCCAAGAGTGAAACAAGGAGACCTATAGATTGTCAACACAACAGAAGACTACAGAGGAAATTACAAACCAAAGTCTCATTACTACCCACACCAACATAATAGCCTGCACTAATAGGTGAGGCTTACAGGAAACTAGACTATTATAGTAAGCATGAAGCAATTACCAATCCCCCACTGAGTGTTAACTACTGGGGCCCAGGCACTGAAGTTCTGAAGTGTTATATGCTATGATTTTGCCTTTACCACAAGCAGAACTCTGAGATCAGAAATCAAATCTGAAATTTACTACATAAAAATTAATAAATGCAAGAAGATAGACACTTAATAACTCACTGGGGCAACTATAAATACACACACACACACACACACACACACACACAGAGCAAGGCTAGTTGTAAACATGCCGAGAACTCTTTTATGGGAGTTGCCAACTTTGTGTTGCTTTCCTGAATATGTGAGTTATTTCTCTACACTCTGGAGCAGACCTTCTTTGCTGCAAAGGCAATGTGACTAAGTCTATAACCCACCAACCCCCAGACCTAATATGGGACATAGTACATAGTAGACAGTTGATAAATTAGTTGTGTCATGGAAGTGCCTAGAGCCTATTTATCTTTCTCTGATACCTTCACTCTGAGTGAGATAACATACTGGGTCCTGAAATACACTGTGGAATAATTTGAAAAACTAATAGTTAAAAAAAATGTAGGACATGGGCATCTGTGTTACAAGTTGAACAAGGGTTTAGTGTGATCTCAGTACACAGATCCATGAATATAAAAGTTAAAACTATATTTTCTATGACAGTTTTTGTTTTCTGACTCTGAGTGCCAATGCACCATGCTTTAATTTGAATCATTGCTGGGATTTTTATCCTGTCTCAGCATTGTGCTAGACCCATGGGTACAAGGTCAAAGACCCACTTGAGTAAAATTAAGACAAAAATAAAACAAATAATCAGATGTCCATCCCAAAACAGACATAATAATTCTTTAATTGACAAGAACACAGGTGGCAGAAGAATGACTGAGGACATTGAGCTCATGAAAAGAATACATGAAATGCACTCAGAGGTAGTCAGCAAACCATGAAAAACTATCTTGGATGTACTCTCGAAATACAAGAATTCTGTGACATACTGGAAACTATGGACACATGTCTGTGGAGTATATTCCATGTAGCCATTGAAAAGATGAGATAGAATCAGAGGGAAGGGAGAGAAGGAAGGAGAAGAGCAGGAGGGAGTGTGGAGGAGGAAGAAAACAGGTCCAGGAATTAGGACAATTCATTGGAGAGGACCATTGGAATTAGCGCCATGGATTAAAAAAAATCTACCTTTCTAAAATAACTTTCTAGAGCCATATAAACAGCAAACAGGAAATCCAAGATCCAAACCTAGATAGTCTATCTGGGAGTTGAGAGTACATGATCAGGCAGTGGGCTAGATATCTCACTAATTCTTCTAAAATTATCTAGAAAATGATGCTTTGTTAATGCTAATTGAAGTTTCTATATAGAACTGAAAATATTAAGATTTTATTATATGAAGTATCTTAATTTATAGTGTTCATTAACTCACACTCACCTGAATTAGTAAAAGCTCTCAATTAAATTGTTAAAATTGAAACCAATATTTTTATATAATCTTTCAAAGCACGTACCAGAAAGACAACCTTATAAAGTCCTCCTGGTTGCTCACTCCTGTGCTTTATATTTCCCAATTATTTTAGTTTAGTGATTTTACCCTCTCTTTGTGGAAGAAGTACACAGAGGTATATTTCTATAATATACCTCAAGGTTAATAAAAGAAGAAAGAAAAGACAATTTCTAAGCTCTCTGACTTCCATGCAGTAGCAAGAAAGTGTGGGTACACAGAGGACATTCCCCCTATACTTCTGAGTTCTTCTTAAGTTGGTAATTAATTAAATTAATTGGTGATTAATTTAATTAGTTAACATCAGACTGATTCATACGAGAAAAGAACAAAGTTAATTATTTATGTATAGAGACTCTATAGGGATGCAAATTCTAGTCATTGGGAAAAGTGAGGGTATTTAGATAGATAGATAGATCTAAATCTAAATCTATATCTATCTATATCCAGAGCTAAGGAATGAGATTAGGATCTGGGGGTCAAGGAGAAGGAAGAGGGATTAAGATGATGAGGAGTGGGTGACTCATAATGAAGACCAGAGGCTATTTAATAAGATATTTCCTCAGTCATGTGGTTCAACATCCGAAAATCAATCAACATTATCCAACACATCAACAAAAAGAAATATAAAAACCATATGATAATATCAATAGATGCCAAGAAAGCTTTCGACAAAGTGCAACAACCATTCATGATAAAAGTCCTTGAAATTCTTCGGATACAAGGAACATACCTCAACATCATAAAGGCCATCTGTGACAAGCCAACAGCCAGTATCATTCTCAATGGTGAAAAGCTGAAAGCATTTCCACTAAGATCTGGAACAAGACAAGGATGTCCACTCTCACCACTGCTTTTCAATATAATACTGGAATTCCTAGACAGAGCAATAAGGCAAGAGAAAGACATACAAGGAATCCAAATAGGAAAAGAAGAAGTCAAACTATCACTATTTGCAGATGATATAATAATATACATAGAGAAACCCAAAAACTCCACGGAAAAACTAATTCAACTCATCAATCAGTTCAGTAAAGTGGCAGGATACAAAATCAACACGCAAAAGTCAGTAGCCTTCCTATATACAAACAATAAATCTGAAGAAGAAGAAATCAAAAAAACATCCCTTTTATTATCGAAACAAAAAAAATCAAATATAATAAATAAATCTAACAAATAAATCTAATAAATAAATCTAATAAATAAATCTAACAAAAAATAAATCTAACAAAAGAGGTAAAGGACCTATACAAAGAAAACTATAAAACACTGTTAAAAGAAATTAAAGAAGACACAAAGAAATGGAAAGACATCCCCTGCTCATGGATTGGAAGAATAAACATTATTAAAATGGCCATCCTACCAAAAGCAATATACAGATTCAATGCTATTCCAATCAAAAATCAATGTCATTCTTCAAAGAAATAGAACAATCATTGATGAAATTCATATGGAATCACCAAAAACCCCGAATAGCTAAAGCTCTCCTGAAAAAAAAAAGAAGGGAATGGAGGCATCACACTCCCAGACTTCAAACTATACTACAAAGCCATAATAATCAAAACTGCATGGTATTGGAACAAGAACAGACACACAGACCAATGGAATCGAATAGAAAATCCAGAAATAAACCCACAGATTTATGGTCAACTAATCTTTGACAAAGGAGCAAAGACTATGCATTGGAGCAAAGAAAGTTTGTTCAATAAATGGTGCTGGGAAAACTGGGTTGCTACATGAAAAAGAATGAAGCTTGACCACTACCTCACTCCATACACAAAAATCAACTCAAAATGTATTAAAGAACTAGACATAAGACCTGAAACCATAAAATACATAGAAGGAAATATAGGTGAAACACTATGTGATATTCACATCAAAGACATCTTTACAGACACATCACCCAAAGCAGTGATAGTGAAGGCAAAGATCAACAGCTGGGACTACATCAAATTAAAGAGCTTCTGCACAGCAAAAGAGACAATAACAAAAACAAAGAGAAACCCCACCAACTGGGAGAACATTTTTGTACACAACACTAATGATAAAGGACTGATCACAAAAATCTGCAAAGAGCTGATGAGACTCAACAACAACAAAGAAAATAATCCAGTCAAAAAATGGGCATAAGAGCTAAAAAGAAACTTCTCTGAAGAGGAAATGCAAATGGCCAACAGGCATATGAAAAAATGTTCAACATCACTTGTAATCAGGGAAATGCAAATCAAAACTATCATAAGATACCATCTTACACCAGTGAAAATGGCACATATTAAAAAAACTAGCAACAACAAATGTTGGCGAGGGTGTGGAGAAAAAGGAACTCTTCTGCACTGTTGGTGGGAGTGCAAACTGGTCCAACCACTATGGATAGCGGTGTGGAGATTTCTGGACCTACTAAACATAGAGCTTCCATATGATCCAGCAATTCCACTCCTAGGTATTTACCCAAAGGACACAGAAACATCAATTCCAAAGGGCACCTGCACCCCTATGTTTTTAGCAGCACTATTTACAATAGCTAAGATTTGGAAATAGCCCAAATGGCCAAAAGTAGCTGACTGGATCAAGAAGATGTGGTACATATACCATGGAATATTACTCAGCATTCAAAAAAGATAAACACATGCAATTTGCAGCAACATGGATGGCGCTGGAAGGGATCATGCTCAGCGAAATAAGCCAGAAAGAAAAAGAAAAATACCGGATGGTCTCACTCATAGCAGGAATCTAGAAAACTTAAATAAGGGACCAGGAAAATGAATAACTATAAGAAAGTGAAAATCAAAATCAACAAAAAA